CACCACAGAGTCTGCGCGGACACCGCCCCCGCCTCAGGCCGCAGCCCCGCCCCTGACCACAGGCCTCGACCGCCGCCACGGCGTCTGCGCGGATGACGACACCGCCCCGCCCCCTCAGCCCCACCCTCCCGGCGGGCCACGCCCCCGCACCAACGGAGCTGCGCGATGAGGCCACCCGCTCGTCAGCAAAGCGTCCTAGTCGCGGATCTTGCCAACGTGGTCCTAAGGGTTCCTGGATCCTAGGGTCCCGCTGGGTTTAAGAGCCATGATGATAACAGCAGTCGTGGCTGACCCCTAGTGAGTGCCCGCTAGTCTCGCTACAGGTCCAGGAACATGTAGGTGCCGTTTACCGTGGTGGTCGGCAGTTAAATACACCAGCCGCTCCTTGGAAACGCTATGGGGCAATTCTACTCTGTTGTATAGGGTCGCTGTGAGTAGGAATCAACTCCACGGCAACGGGTTTGTTTGCGTTTGTTTTTGTTTTTTTTACGGAAGGAAAGCACGTGCCTCGGCGACAAGTGCCCGAGGACGAGAGGGAAGTCACTCTGTGCCTGTCTGTGCCTCTACTTACACATCTGTAATATGGGAGTAATAGCGGTACGGTTCTTGCAAGATTGTTTTGAGGATTAAATGAGATAACGCATGAAAAGTGCCAAACACTTCCTAAGGCCTCAGTAAATATTAGTTACTGTTGTCTCAATATCCACGACTTACATCGTTAACTGCTGGTGCCAGAGGACCGTCCCCCTGTATCACAGCCCTATGAGGTGGGTCTGTGCCGCCCATACTCACTTTACCAATGAGAAAACTGAGGTTTGGAGAAGGCACTTGACCGAGGTCACATAGCTAGTAGGTGAAGAGTTCAGCCTCAAGTCGCCCTGGCTGAGAAGCCGCCTCAGCATGCCCCAGTTTAGGCAAACCCTTGAATTTGAGGCTTCTGGAGACAGGGTAGGGGAATTATAGATAAAGTGTTTCTTCGCGCTGGAAAACAGTTTTCTGAGGGCGGGGTCCCACTCTGTATGTGTAGCACTCCTGCAAAATGCTGCGTCCAAGGAGGGTGTTCAGTAACAAGTGTTCCTCTCTGACTCCAAATGTTAGGTCCTTTCTAAATAAGTTTTGTGATTAAAAAGAAGCGTGTGAGGGGTGAAATGTGATTTGAGAGAGATAGGAAGTAAATGTTTCCCTAAAGGAGAGGGATTCTGTACCTGGGGAGTGACTGGAGGTTCAGAATTACACAGCTCCTGGGGCTTCAAATCAAGACTGGGCCTCTGCTGTCGATAACTACAAACCAGGGGAATAAAACTAAAACACTGATGTGCGGGAACTGAGGCAATATGATGTCGCGCGCGCGCGCACGCACGCACGCACGCACGCACACACGCACACACGCACACACACACACACACACACACACACACACAACCCAAACATGGCTAAGAGAAAGTAAGGTGAGACCCCACCTCTGCACAGGTCAGCACCTGTGCAAATTACATCACTGCCTCTCTGGTTCTGTTTCTAGGTAAACTAGGGCTGCTAACAGCTACCTTGCCATGGTGGCTGGAACATTCAGTGTGCCAACCACGGAGGCTTCACAAGGGGCACACAGTAGCTCATTTACACCTGTCTATTTGCCGTTTGTTTTCTATGTCTCATGTCTTTTTTGTTCGTCCTTTACTGCCTTTTTTTATATTTAATGAATATTTTCTACTATGTCATTAATTCCTTTAAAGATTTTTTTTTTTACTATTTTCTTGTTATATTCTTAGTAGTTGCTCTAAACCAGTTACTATGGAGTCAGTTCTCACTCATGGCAACCCCATGTACGTCAGAGTAGAATTGTGCTCCATACTTTTTTTTTTTTTAATAATTCAGTACTGCTTTATTTTCCATAGGGTTTTCAATGGCTGATTTTTTGGAAGCAGAGCACCAAGCCTTTCTTCTGAGGCACCTATCGGTGGATTTGAATGTCTAGCCTTTCAGTTAGCAGACGAGCACGTCACCCATTTGCACCACCCAGGGACTCCTGTAATTTCTCTAGGGATTACAACATACATTTTATCAGAATCTACTTCAGATTTATGCTAAATTAATTCCAGTAAGATACAGAAACTGCTCCAATACAGCTCCATTCCCTTCTCCCTTTTTTATGCTATTATTGCCCTTTTTGGTCTCTATGTTATAAACACAACAATACAAACTTATATTATTGTTGTATATAATATAGTTTTATGTCTTTTTAAACAACCTAAAATGAGTAAAAATGTATTTATAATTTTTTTATATTAACCTTATTTACCATTTCTAGTTTTCTTCACATGTATTTGAGTCACATAGTATATCACTAACAAATAGGTCAAAAGCCCCCAGTCCCCACCTGCTGGGACAGAAATTACCCTACACTTTCATAAGGCACCTGGCATTTGCACCAAATCAAACCAAATCCATTGCCATTGAGTTGATTCCGACTTACAGCGACCTTATAGGATAGAGTAGAACTGCCCCATAGGGTTTCTAAGGCTGTAATCTTTACAGAAGCAGACTGCCACCATCTTTCTCCTGCAGAGCACCTGGTGGGTTCCAACCGCCAACCAGAGCACTTAACCACTGCGCCACCAGGGCTCCTCTGGCATTTACACAGGCCTTGATAAAGGTCAAAGTACTTTTGCTGCCGGTGGGTTATCTCATTGAGATGCACAATACCTTTCAAGGCCAGGAAACTGCCCAAGAATGACAAAAGGCTGGTTCCTTTCCTCTTCTCTCTCTGGACATCTGGACTGCTGCTCTGGCACCAGAATGTTCTTCTGGAACAACTATAAGTTCATCTGAGAATAGACTAGGCTGTCTGGGTCATGCTGCATTGCTCTTTAAAGGTTAGGTCAGCCCTAACTTGTCCATATCAAGCAGTATCAGAGCTTCTGTGGCCACATTTTATACCATTAAGCTGATGGGGTTTGAGAGTATATCCCAGGTATTATTCCTTTTTTGGAGTCCCTGGGTAGTACAAATGGTTAACACACTTGGCTGCTAACCAAAAGGTTGGAGGTTTGAGTTTACTCATAAACACCTCAGAAGAAAGGCCTGGTGATCTACATCCAAAATATCAGCCATGAAAACCCTACGGAGCAATGAGTTCATGTTAATGGGGAGGAACAACCTGGTGTTTTTTTTCTCCCTGAAAAAGAATTTTTTTTTAATTTTATTGTTGTACTTTAAGTGAAAGTTTATAATTCAAGTTAGTCTCTCATACAAAAATTTATACATACATTGTTATGTGACCCTAATTGCTCTCCCTATAACGTGACAGCACACTCCTCCTTTCCACCTGTGATTTCCTGTGTCCATTTAACCAGCTCCTGACCTTCTGCCTTCTCATCTCACCTCCAAACAGGAGCTGCCAATTTAGTCTCATGTATCTACTTGAGCTAAGAAGCACACTCTTCGTGAGTATCATTTTATGTCCCATAGCCCAGTCTAATCTTTGTCTGAAGAGTTGGCCTCAGGAATAGTTTTAGTTCTGGGTTGACAGAAAGTCTGGGGGCCATGCTTTCTGGGGTTCCTCCAGTCTCAGTCAGACCATTAAGCCTGGTCTTTTTACTAGAATTTGAGTTCTTGCACCCCACTTTTCTCCTGCTCCATCAGGTACCCTCTGTTGTGTTCTCTGTCAGGGTGGTCATTAGTGGTAGCTGGGCACCATCTAGTTCTTCTGGTCTCAGGCTGATGGTGTCTCTGGTTTATGTGGCCCTTTCTGTCTCTTGGGCTAATACTTTCCTTGTGACTTTAGTATTTTTCGTTCACAACTTGGAGTTTTTTGATGTTAAAAAAAAAAATTTTTAACAAATGGTGCTGGCAAAACTGGATATCCATCTGCAAAAAATTGAAACAGGACCCATACCTCATGCCATATAGAAAAACTACTTCAAAATGGATCAAAGACCTGAATATAAAGCCTAAAACTATAAAG